CCCCCCCCCCCCCCCCCCTGAGTATCACGCTAGGCTGAAACTTCCCTGTTGCCGAGCCTCGATAATAACGAATGATAGATGGCCCGTCGACTGTACAAGCTGCATCAGGAAAAGCTCTTGACGCACCATAACGACGAGAATGACTGGGATCGGTGGAAGTATGCCGAATCTCTCCGACGGAATTTCTTTTTCGTCAATATGATTAATATCCTCGGGGCAAGAGTGCGGAAACTGAACGAGCACTACTTTGAACCGCTGGGCGATGACATGATCCTCCAGTTGCCTCTTCCCGCTCCGGAGCATATGTGGCGCTCATGTACCGATGAAGAGTGGATAATGGCCCGTGAACACACGTGGCGGCAGCCCGGGAAACTCTCCGACGGAGTTCATAGTCATGCCGGTCCCCGAACATTGCGGGAACTCCTGGACATGGATAAGGCAAGGACCCTGGATGTTTCTACTTTGTTACCGGTTACTCGATTGATTCTCGCCTGTGCAAAGATCGCCCCGAAGGGTGATTCGCTCGGCGACTTATGATTTACGGCTCCCCTTTCGCTTACTAAATTTCTTTCCTGTTGGTTGTTTGTCAATTTGTTTGCATGGTGGATGTATACGATTTCTCGACTGTACACAGATTGATGATTAAGGCGGGTTGCTTGATACGCAATTTTCTTTAATACGGGTATATAGTATATACTTTTTCCATACTACCAGCTAGATTCCAGCAATGAGTACGGCCATGTTTTTCCGATCCTTGAACTTGAATCTGTCTCTCCTGGCTGTAAAAATGTGCCCCGTAATCTTTCAACTCGGATCCATCTGGTCGTCACGTGTTTGTCGGAGAAGAGTGGTCTGCTCTATCATCCTTCTCTACGCCTCATCCCGATTGGCTACGGACATTGATGGTCGATGGTTAAATCTCTCCGAGCGTAGCAATCGAGATAGCGACGGATGAATCTTGGCCCATCTCTCCGCTGTGCTTGTTTTGGGGGTCGTGTAGCTTATGAATGCATCGGAGACTTTGATGGGAACCCAGTACTATACTCGGGGTACGGACCATCTACAAATACATCTCCCTTTGCACGTAGCTTTCAGACAGTTGATTCAATGACGCACTCCCTCAAGTCACATGTGAAGACGTTGTAATACTTATGGTATTGCTTGGTGCAGTGGTGGTATGCAGCTGGCGTCGAGGATGCGGATCCTAGGGCTTCAATTGTCACCTGTCTTGTCTATCCGCATTACCGATTACTACCTATGCAATCTCTAGTATGGATTATGTATTGCTTATTGAATACAATGATGGCTATGATGTAAGAAATTCAAACCTGGACGAGTAAACCGGGACGTTTACCGACTCCGGGAGTAAGATCCAAATATGGTATATGGTGGTACGAAAGAGAACATTTCTAGAAAATAATCACTGTGTAACATGTTCAGCTTGCTGGCCCGTTTACCGGTTAGGGTCTGGTTCTCGTATCAGGGGTTCAGGCGGCATGGCTTGGGGTGGCTTACTATATAGTTTGAGACATGAATAGTCATAATAGCTCACGTTCTGGTGGCTCTATACCCCCACTACCTTGGGGTCAAGAGGGCCTGCACAGATCCTTTGTTGCAACCTAACCCAGCTAAGCACTCACTACGCCCAACGATGATCTTAAGACCATGCTATATACCCATTATATGTTGCAATGCTGCTATGATTTACGTATGTATATATATACAACTACCGTAGGGATGTAAACCATTACTGCAGCGTGCAGCTGGCCTAGCACCTGACTATACGCCCTATACACCCTCGAATACACGCCCACCTCTCACAAAGAGCGGGTTCAACCTGTACCCAGGTCATTAAAGTCCATCCCAGCACAACGGAGACAGATGTCGTGCATATGACGCCTTAACGCCGAAATCCCTGAACCCAGCTAGCCCAAAAATAGCCGTTCTGCAGTATTAGTGGCCCCCTCAGTCACAAAATCCCCGATTGCCCTAGTCATAGCCTAAAATATCACCACATGGCCACGTTGTTCCGTCAGCACGCGCTTCCTGCTCCTTGGGAACGAATACTACATCGTGTCTACGATGCACCAGCCACGGGCTGAGTGACTGCACCCACTAGGACATGTCTTGTCTTGTCTAGTCTAGTCTGACCGTTGAAACTACTTGGGATACATGGAGGGCGGAGAGTTTAGTCTGTGCACCGCGCGCGTGGTGTTTCTAGGACCTTCTCTGGTGGGATGGATGAGTTGTCCGCCCTTGTTTCCGTGCCGGAAGCGGTGCAGGGATGGAGTTTGTGTGGGATGCGTGTGAACTTTGGTTCAGGTCAGTTTGAGTGTTGTTTATTGTGTTTAGTTGGGGGTTATGTGTCGGTGCGGGCTGGATTTATCTGTGCGTAGGTTTGGCAGTTTCAGTTTGGCCGTGCCGAGATGAGTGTATACTTACCTTTACCGGAGATAGGATCTTTAACTTCAGCTTCGACCGAATGTAAGCGCTTGTACATCGTAGTGTGCTTGCCAGGAGCTCCACTGCATGACTCCTCCTCCATCGCCTCGTTGTCGTCGTCGCTTAGCGCTTGAGGTTGTATTGTAGGATGAACAAGATCATGGAACAGACGCAACTTCGAGGATTTTGGCGACTTAGACGCGGCGATTGTTGGACAACGGTTCAACGAGGCATGGTATGCTCGCGTCTAAGCAGAATTACGATTGGATCAGCAAGCCACGAGGCAGGCAGTATCCCGGCTCCCATCTGAAGATATGAGACGGTGCGGCAACCGCCATGCCCCGACATGACCGGTGGAAAGACGTTGTGACAGCTTGGCGATGGGCGTCCAAGCAAAGCCGACATTAATTTCCGGTGCGATCGTGGAGATCTAGCTTCGTGAAATTGGCACGCCGTGGGCCCTCATCGCTAGGTGAGGGCCAATCAGCTCGGCTTATGTTCGGACTTCCATGGATCGGTCTGCGCTTACCATGTGCATTAACCAGATCTTGTTTTGGGGAATTGCAGTGTAACTGTCGCCGAGAGGCTCACCTGCATGGCATGATAGGTAGACGGAACGGTGATCGTTGGTACGGATGGAGTTGGTTGGTAGGGTTGGAATGTTCTTCAACGGCATCGACCAACATATATAACTTCAGGGTTATTCACGAGTTTTTTGAAATCATCAGCAACCAGCTCAACCTCCAATCATCATAACGAGAGCACTAGAACACGATTCAAAATAAATCGTAGTGTGAGAGCCGATCACCCTCATCCTCATCCTTTAACAAATCATATCTTATCTTTCTACGATTTGCCACATTCTTCACAATGATCTTCAACTCTAAGCTTCCTCTCCCCCCTGTCCCCTCGTGCGACGCCTTCAACTATATCTTCCATGTCGGTCGCAGGGATTACCCCGCCGATCGCGTTCTATACCGCGTCGATGGTTCCGATGAGACCTTAACACTGGGAGGTCTTGAGCGGAAGAGCAGGCAATTTGCCGATGCTATTCGCGAATACTACGACATCGAACCCAATGATGTTGTGGCCATTCTTGCTAAGGACAAGGTATGTAACTCCATTGGATAATAACTCTAATTATGTACTAATTTCCCCTAATAGATCAACTATCCCATCGCCTACTACGGCGCCCTCGCAGCCGGTGCTGTGGTTGCACCCATTCCCGTGCAGAAGGAGATGTCCGAAACAGATATCGCCGCCCGTCTCGAACAATCCAAAGCCAAGCTGCTCATCACGGACTCTGAACTGCTCGTCCTTGCCGAAGTATCAGCTATGCTTGCTGGCTGCGTCTCAGTCATGACCCTGGATGCCAACGACCAAGAATGGCCTTCCGTCGACTCCCTCCTCCCCATGGGCAACCCTGACGCCCGCGTTTTCGAACTCAAGACTCCCGAAGAAGTGGACGAGCACAACGCCTTCATCAACCGCACCAGCGGCTCAACCGGTTCCATGAAGTCGGTCCTCACTAGCCACGCCCACTACATCTCCACCATGGAGGCTACAGTCGGCACCATCCCCGCCGATACCGACCCGGATCGCGATGTCTGGGTGTCTCCTCTCTCTTTGGGCTTTTTCATCAACGCTAAGCTCCACATGGGATTGAACATTCTCCTTGGAATCCCCGTAGTACTCATGAAGAACACTCTCGACGAGACCACCGTTGATGTTGTCGCCCGCCACCACATCACTTTCCTCTTCATCACGCCACCCATCGCCGCTCGTCTCGCCCGCGCCGATCTCTGCACTACCGATGTTTCCAGCGTCAAGTGGCTCCTGACTGCCGGTGCCCCCATGCATGAGAACCTCCGCAACGCAGTGTCGCGCCAATTCGGCGGCGTACATCTCACACTCGAATGGGCCACCTCCGAGACCATGCTCCTCGCCATGCAAACAGACGAGTCCTCCAAGCAGCCCGGCTCCAGCGGCACACTAGTCAACGGCATCCAAGCCAAGGTGATCAACACCGAAACCGGCCACGAGTGCGGCTACGGCGAAGAAGGCGAGATCCTCGTACGCAGCGCCATCGCCCGGTTCAAGGGCTACAAGGACAACGAGGTCGCCAACCGCGACTTCGACTCCGAGGGCTGGTTCCACACTGGCGACTACGGCTACCTGGACCAGGACTGCAACGTCTACATCGTGGACCGCATCAAGGAGCTCCTAAAGGTCGGCGAGGGCTACGGATCGCACGTCTCCGCCGCAGAGATCGAATCCGTCCTCTTCGAACACCCCGCCGTCTCCAGCGTCGTCGTCGTCGGCATCCGCAACACCGAGATCCAAGTCGACGAGCCGACCGCCTTCATCATCCTTAAGCCCGAATACCGCAGCAAGACCGCCCAAGTCTCCCGCGCCATCGAAAGATACGCCGACTCCAAGCTCACCGGCCTCCGCCGCTTGACTGGCGGCGTCCACTGCGTATCCAGCTACCCCACCACCGGGTTCAAGATTAACCGGAGAGCCCTGAAGTCGATGGCTGTGCCGAAGAAGCCAAATATGTCCGTCGTGCAGTCGTACCTGCGGCCGGCTATGTCCGCTATCTCGAATATTCGGATAGTTTGACTAGATTTGACTATTGCTTCTTTTTTTGATCGAGCGCTTTGGAAGCGATGGCGTTGGACGGTGCATAGATTAGACTTTTGCTTTTCTCATGGATTAGACATGTCGCTTATGATTGTGATACCATTAGACAAGAATATGATTTATGAATTAATAACTACTTATTTGATTGCTTTTTTCCCTGAACAGTCTTGATTGAAAGTAGCTTCTTTAGTTCCCTTTATTCGCCCTCTTCTTCGTGTCTCCTTTTCTGTTTTTCTCTCTCTTCTCCCATCCAACGTTTTCTTCCACTTTTCTCTATATAGTATTCCATGTATATTCTTCCGCTTTCCCTCATCATTTCCTTAGTTCTTTACTTACCGTCACTCATCCATCCATCATCTATCTATCCATCTTTTTAATATTAATGATTCTCACCTCTCCCTCTAACAATCCAAAAATTCAAACCCCAAACACACACACACACACACACAAAAAGACACACCCTAAATCTACTAGCTAAGTATCGTGGATAGTATAGTACATCCACACAAGCCTCCCACAAACAGCAGAGAAAAGACAAGAAAAAGAAAACCCCAAATCCTCCCGCACCGAAAATTCTTCACTCAAAATTCAAGCTCAGCCCACAAAATACTTTGGTTGGGGGCCAAAACACAACTAGGTAGACCTTGACTCGACCTAACTTGACGGAAGGGTTTGGGTAAAGGGGCGATTATCTAGTAGTCTATCTACCCACGGAGTAACACCATAAAAGATCCACTTTTTCTCCCTGTAAGGAATTTTTGCTCACATGTTTTATTTGGAGGTGGCTGTTTTCTTTTGGGGGGTGGTTGCTTTATTATCTAGGGGGTGGAGGTGGTGGTTAGTAGGGTTGGTTTGGCTTGGGGGCTTTGTCCTTTGGTTGGAGGTCGTGGTTGTTGTTGTATTGAGGATATATATATATTAGTTGGTGTTGGTGTTGTTTCCTGGGTTTGTATCTCTGGGGAGGCAACGAGTAGTTACGAGAGTATTGATCGAGATATATGTATTTAAAAGCACTTTGATATAAACCATACATATATCTATAAATAATAAACAATGAGAAATAGAAAGCCTTGACAAGTCCTCCCAGGAGCAACTTTAAATAAGAATTAATGTGATATCACGTGACACATGGCTTGAGTATGCTCCTCGTTACTACGATGCTAGTGGCTACGCTATTGGAGCTTGTCTCTATTGTTTAAATGGGGAGTGATGGGTTGTTTGGTATAGGTGTATTATGTATGTAAGTCTCATGATCGTAATTCTAACAAATGTGGTATATACTAGGGAATCAGAATGAAGGGAAAAAAAGTGAAATATAGAAAGTGAGATAAACGGAAGTATGCAAACTTCGCTACCGGTCAAAACACCCCCTTCAGCCCCCCTCTCTTGAACCCGCCCCAGATCACAAACTTCGGTTCGATCTCCTTCCCCGCGTCATTGGTCTGTCCTAGTTGCTCGTCGTTTGGTAGGAGCACGACATTTCCCGGATATAGCTTTCCCAAAAGGGCGAGGGCAATGGTTGGATCATCGACAGGGATAACATGGAACCCCCCAAGCCTGGCTGTGGCGAGCGCCGACCGGGACTGTACGAGAATTTCCGATGCGGAGTGGACGGTCGCTATGTGGTTTGTCATGTGTTCAGGTGTTTCCTCCGGTGCTTCAAACGAGTATCGGAGTCCGCGGGCGATTTGGCCAACGTCTACCCCCGCTGAGCTGCCATTCGTAAACTTTAGCCGCAGCTCTAGGCCACGAACAGGAGAAGACGTGGTCTTTGGTTGGAGCTGGACTCCGGCTGATTTTAGCTCGTCTTCTTTGCCCGGGAGATCTATCGGGTACCCGAATAAGTGCGTGGAATCTCCTGGTGGAATTTCCACACGCGGGGCTTCATAGTAATCTGGGAATTGGTAGTCAAAGAGAATTTCTGGTGTCGAGGGATCGATCTTGGAGGGTACATAGCGTAGCAAGTGATAGGGGATTGCCCCGCCTGCGAGTACGGCAGGGATAATGAGGCCGTGTTTGTACTGGAAGCCGTATCCGCCCGTCTTTGTGGTTGGAAGGTCTGGGGCAAGCACTGCACGGGCCAGTGCGACGACTGACGAATGTGTGATATGCCTGGTGAACACTGTGGTGAGGAACCTTTCTCGCGCGGTTTCAAGATGTCGCAGGCCGCGTGCGTCGCCGTCAATTGGGATGGGCACGACTTCGAAATTCTGGAAGGGAAGTAGCGCATCGCGCAGAAGTATCATTTGGTGCATGTATTCATTGAACAGTTGCATGAGATGTGGCTGACTGCGACGGCCAAAAAGCAATGCCACATTGTCTGGGAGGAGAAGGTGGCCATCGCAGCGGCTGCGCAGCCAAAGGTCTGGGTCATATGGCTCCTTGCTATATCCACGTGCCCAGTGGACCAGTGTCTGGCCCACCCGGCGAGCTTGCTCTTTAATCTCACGGCGGCTGATATCTGTGAGGTTATTGGATAAAGGGAGTGAGGTCTCTCGAGTATCTGTGGCTAGATTGGCGGCAATATTGTCAAGTAGCGCCGTGCGCGCGGGCGTTGAATTTGGCGGATCGGGGCCGAGATGATGTACGACCGTGTCCAGCAGTGGCGCGAAGCTGCGGACTAGCTGGCGGGGAGTATATACTCCCTTAGGGATTAACCATTCTTCGGTCCGGCCACTCTCGGGGTCGCGAATGGGAATTCGAGCTGGTCCAAGAAAGTCTGGGAATGTGAAATCATGCATGGAGCTCTTCGGCAGAGGAGTGCTCGCCATGGGGCCAATCATTGAGAGAGTAGAATAAATGGAACAAGCATATGAATGTGAAAGGTCAGACCCTCAGCTTGGAGAGATGACCACGACAGAGAGGCCATTTTGGAGCGACAATGCCATTATAATAATGGGCGCGGAGCGAAAGTGCTGGTAAGTCGGTCTCCGAAGGCGACATGGAGGAAATGACAGCAGGATGAAGTATTTCCGAGACCAGTAAAACGAATTGAAGCCTCATCGGAGAAGATTTGCTCGAACGGTATCGGAGGTGTTTGGACATGACCACGGATCTCCGATGATGTGCACTAAGGTAAGCAGGGCTATTTAAAAGGGAGCTTCCCACACGACTTACTGTATCGGCATTGGCCTAAGGCCTGACCAGGTCACGTTTTTTACCCGGTCCTAAACAAAGAGAAAGTCTTTAGTCCCCTCTTCGTATCATTACTAACCATGTAATGCATTCCCTCCCTCGGATTTCTCCCTCCCCTTTACTGTAATCTCCTAAGAAGTTCTCTCTTAATTAAATCAGAACAAACAATAATAATGGTTTCTCAGTCTTCTGTGTTCTCGGGCACTGAAGGCAATTATCTTCTGCCTCATCATCTCACGGAGACTGATCGTCTTCAACGCCAGCATCGACATTTCGCTGCGGCCTCTGATAATGTCTATTTTGGGTTCCCTCTGCCACCGTTAAGGGATCGTCCGCTGCGAATCCTCGACAGTGGATGTGCTGATGGTACGTGGTCCAGCTTGTAAATGATGGACCCAGCTGAACAGTGTAGGGGTCTGGTTGCGTGACATGGTCCAGCAGTATCCGGACCATTCTTTTGCTCTTTACGGCGTGGACATCGCCTCGCAGTTATTCCCCAAGAATGTAATCCATGATCTCCGCTACCACGACATCCGGCTTCCTTTCCCTGATTCCTGGGGCTGGGAAGACTCGTTCGACATTGTTCATCAGCGGTTGCTCGTATGGGCCCTGAAAAAGCACGAGTGGCGGCCGGTCATAGGACACTTGAAGAAATTATTGAAGCCCGGCGGCACCATCCAGCTGACCGAGTGTCAATGGCTTCGTCCAGAGAACTGGGATACCCACCCGGAGCAGCATCTACTGGGTTTAACGCAGATCTGGGCCACGGAAGGTTCCGGGTTCGACATCCACCTCGCTGATAAACTTGAGCCAATGCTGAAGGAACTTGGGTTTGTCGACGTAACGACTGTTCGGTTTCCTCTACCATACGGCGCCAAAGTAAAGGACCCAACTAACCGCGATGTGTCGGCCGAGCTGTGGGTAGAGAGCTTCCATCATCTGGCGAGGCTGATGGGAGGTATGGTCTCCATCCTGAAGTACACGAATGTAAGCTGACGGAATCAGATGATGGAATCCCAGGGGTAGCGAAGACTCCAGAAGAATATTACGCCTTTCTAGGACGGCTGGTGGGGGAGATGAAAGACAAGGGATACGTACCAGAACTGCGAATGGTGTGTGGTCGAAAGGTGTAGTTACATGAAGATTTCAAGATGAAAACTAAAACCAGCGATGTACCAGTTTTCTCCGAATGTATGTATTTATGAGCTGCTGGGATTGGACGAACTTTTCTCCTAAGAACCAACGATCTCCGATAGACCATCTTGATCCGAAGCTCCACTTTGTCTACACATACTGTACTATCATTCTGGATGTACCACGTATTGGATTTTCCTACTTTGGCTATCTTATAGATACATACTACTCCCTGTGTACCCTCTGTACAGGGTGGGGTCGTAAAAGATCCTGTAGGCAACACCGTCGTATTCATAATTAGTCCCGCGCGGATGAAATTCGAACCGAGTGCTGGAAAATATGCAAGGCGCTTCCACCCCGAAGGCCACGGACATAGTATTAGACGTTGGGGAAGGGAGGAGAGGTGCCTTCATACTCATCCCATCGCCAGTTATAAGGTGCCCAGGGTATATGTGTATTATTAATTAACAATGATATACCTATTGTCCTTCCTGACTGGTCGAGGCCTGTGTTAGCTTCTCAAACTCTCAATCCATAACAAGACCATTCGCCCTATCTAACCATATCCAGTGTCTATTTATGTGCAGATGAAAAAATAGAAGGCTTGCCATCAGTTCTACGATCCCAATCCTGCAAGATAGACAAAAATGATACGATGGAGAGGAAATATTTTCATAGAATCCCTTCTCAGGAACTTTCAACAAGGCCGAAGTATTTGAATTGCCGTATAACGAAGAGATATTGCGAAAGTCTTGTCGCAGCTCAATGCAAAGATCATCTGAATGTAGTGAAGGAGACAAGAAAATAAAGACATCGTCAAAACAATTATTAGATATAACCTGAGGCACACTAATCTATTCATAGCAACGAAGTCCAGCAATCCCTGTCCTTACCGCCGACCAATAAGACAAATCATATCAGCTGAAATCGAATGAACTGACTCTAGTTTTCTCTCTCTTCTCTTCACTGAATCTGACGCCTTGTGATTCTTTTGCACTCCTATGGAACGGTCTTAGCAAAAAGCCAAAGCCTTGAAAGAAATGTTCATTGAATTGGCTCAGGTGGCCTTGTAAGGGGCAAGAGCAAAGTCCGACCGTGAGCGTTTACCTATTTCTCTACAAATCCAGCCTCGCACGGAAGAAGTCATCCGTTCACCAACACAGGAAACACTGATAAATAGGCAAGATGGAGAACTCCCTGAAAGGAAGCGAGAAAATGCAAATCACAGCGACGTGGCGAGTAAAATTTGCGAACCCAGATCCGAAGGCTGTGAGCCACCAGCAGGTGTCTAGCAGAATAGCCTACACGCGTGCGCTGAAGAGGCGACCTATTGCACCCTAGGAAAACCAGACATATCACGAAATGTAATTCAAAAGTGCAATGGTATAGGCAACCCGCAGATGGAACAGATGACGATGATTAGGAATGGGGAAGCTCTGGGCTAAGGCTTATGAGAGGTTTTCAGAACAAGAAAAGGATGACTTAAAAGTCATACAAACATGGAGTTCTAATATACGGGGGCGCTGACCAGGACAAGGCCCGGGAGCGAAATATGGAGGCATGGGTAGAGACGAGCAGTTGAAGGGCCTCGTCCCCAGCGACCTTAAAAAGTTTGAAGACACCAAGCAAGTTAAGATGGCCTCCAAAGATAAAGAGATTGTTGTCGCAGATGAGATTCGTCGTATTGTGCATAGGATAGTGGCGGTGAAAGAAGTTATTTCGGCGGCGATTTCAAACGAACCACATGCTGCCCTGGCATGGGCTAGTGCTCTGGTGGGATTGACCGTTAGTATAACCGACTGGTTGTGAATGAGGATGCAAGGAGTGAAGTGGAATTTATTCCAGGCCTTCTAGTTCGCTACCAGTTGATCGAAGATGGCCATGCTCAACCAAATGCCACCGAAGATCGGAGCTCAAGGTACGCACTCCACCAACATTCCACCAACATGGATCTCCATCATCTAAGACCGCACAGGATGCACAAAGATGGTATGTGGCTGAAAAGAGCAATGATATCTGTTTGTGCTCAGGTGCGGCAGTATCAGATTGCATTCGCGAAACAGTATCTCAAATCTTGGGCCATACAGTATTTTAGAGATCTTGCGAAAGTCGACTATTGGAAGTCATGCTTGACAATATCAAAGAGAAAGTTACAGAGATCGTCAACTACCTGGGCACATTGTCGAATGTCATAGCGCAAGGAACCAGGGACTCAGATAAGCAAGTTTCGTCAAGTGGAAGCCCTATTGAAGGAAATATACCAGGCCTCCGTGTCTTCATTACCGGCCGGCCAACGATTGAGATGGACCGTCGATTCGGTGCCAATTTAGCCGACGTTCACGGTGATAAAATACTTACTAAGCTCTCCCACACCAGAGTGACACATGAGAATATGATATTATCTTATATTTTAAGACCAACTGCGTGAAATCAGAGCTATTCACCAGGTGGTGGTAGCCTGGCTGGGCGAAACAGAAAAGTCCGCAAGCTCGTTGAAAAGTCTGATGGGGCTGTTCATTTATGCTGCTACAACTTATCGGTATCTGAACTCTGATGATATTGATGACCTGGACGATCTTAATAGTCGAGTGCAAATGGTTTTCAATAACGAGATAGACGGAGAGTCTCCCCAAGATACCTCGATGCATTGTACGCTGGCATCCTGATGTTAGAGATTATCGGCAATCTAACCGAGCGCAACAACTTGGAAAGATGTGAAGAATCTAAGAAGACCATAGGATCGACTGATATCCCTGCAGACTCGTTTTCTGTTTCGCCCTTGAGTGATCTAATTCATTGCCTACCCAAATAGGACAATGGAAAGGACGCTGAGCCACCTGCACTCATTGCTAGCTATTTCTAAAGGCAAGCAGTCAATTGAGCTTCTCCATCTATCGTTCCGAGAGTTTCTTCTTGATAATAATAGATGTGTAGGTGGCTTTTGGGCTGATGAGAGAAAAGCCAATCGCGAGCTTTACGAGAATTGTCTGGCCGCCATGTCCGCTCTTAAAACAGATATTTGCCACCTTGGAAGGATCAATACTTGCATTGAAAAAATTGAGTCAGCCTGTTAGACAAATACCTTCCAGAACATGTGCGATACGCAAGTGACTACTGGGTGGATCGTCTTTGGCAGAGTGGTGTTATGTGTTCGGACAATGACAGACTTCATGATTTCCTTAAGAAACACTTCGTACATTAGCTTGAAGCCATGTGTCTCTAAGAAAGTTGACCGCAGCAATTACTTTCTGGGGCTATCCTATTACATGCCTTGCAAACCTTTCAGTGAGTGCTGCATAGGCACTGAATTGCAATCACACTGACCCAGCATCCTTAGAAATACCAAGCCACCGAATTGATTGGTTTGGCCCATGATCCTAAATATTTCATGCTTAGGTTCAAGTCAGTCATTAAGCGGGCTCCACTACAGCTGTACATATCTACCTTGCTTTTTGCCCCTTAAACGAGCATCGTTCGACAATAGTTTTAAAGGTAAATCCTAGGCTGGATAAATAAACGGCCCAGGGTCTAAGTGGATTGGGGCCCATCATTGCCAGTGCTTGGTTACCACAAAAGGAGGGATAGTCTGTTAATAATCTCCCCAAATAAGAGGTTGGTGGCATCTTCGTCTGTCCAAGATGGTACAGTTTATATGTGGGACACCACCTGGAAGTGTGTCCAAGAGCTACGTGCGGCTGGCATTGTGACCATGGCATTGTCACTAAATAGTAAGCTACTGGATCGGCATCCCGCGATGGAGTTATTAGTGTATGGCATACTGCAACATGGATAACTAGAGGCTTTTCCTCAGCGTGACGACTGGGTAGAGCCCGCTGTACCGCTCGTGTTCTCATCAGATATCAGCAAGGTTGTGTCTACCTATAGCGATGGTAGGGCTCAGGTGCTTAACTTGGAAACAGGGGAATTGATGCAATCGATCGATCTCGGTACCACGACAGATTGCAACATTTTCATTGGATGGGGACTCCATCCTACTGGGTTGGATTCAGGACATATATGATGTCTCAAATTTAGGTGGAGCCGTGCTCTGGGATATACTTGAAGGGAATTCGACGACTATATTGAGTGAAACAGCGTGTGACGCAGTATCGTTTCATCTTGAAGGAGATATGGCTATGTGTGCAGCTAGAAGTGGCACAGTCCAATTTTGGGGCATTAGCAAGGGGATCTTGCAGACCTTTCGAGGTTTCAGCGACCTGTTGGCTGCTTCATTTTTACCATCCAGAAACTCTCTTGCCTGTGTCTCTACGGAGCGTAGTGTCTTTATTTGGGATGGGATAGAAGGTGAAGCCATGGAGTTAGAGGATGCCGTTATTCCTTCAAACTACTCTTCCAAGCAGGATCTGTATATTGGATTAGCCTTGAGGGACAGTATGTGGCTGTATATACAGTTACTAGTCTTTATATTTGGGATGCCGCGACAGGGGCCATAACGTTCAAGCTAGAGGAAAATAGGTTTCAACGTGTGCTGCTCTCACAGGACTATCAATGCGACTGCGGGCTGGGGTCATACATTTCAGGTCTGCAATTGCCTTCCCAAAAGCCTGAGAAGATCTGAACCGTGGAGCCTTCAAGGCCGATGCCCTATCTCCGGATGGTACTTGTGCGGTGTGCATAGCAAGAAATGCACTTCTACTTTGGGACACAAGTTCAGGAAGCATAACAACATTAGGCCTACGCGATGAATTTGTCATCAAGGAGGTACTATTTTCCACTAATGGTGAGCGAATGATGGCAATAACCGAATTATCATCAGTGACTATCTGGGTTACGGAAACCTGGTATGTTCTGCAGACATCCCGACCAGAGACACCCGAGATCTACGTACGCCTACCTAAGTCCGTGGCAGTATCGCCGACTGAAAAACTGTTTGCATCAGTAACTCAAAGGAACCTTGAACATATCAGTTATTACTGGCGCATAGAGCCGTGGGACATAGGCCGAGGACAGCTCAATTGGACAATCAGGGACCACGAGGAACCGCCAAGCGCCGTAGTAGTATCGCACGATGATAAGATTTTGGACTCATCATTCGATAATAGCCAATCTTGTCGAGTGTGGGATATCACCACCCGCCATCTGGAGTGGGAACTGGACTGCGGACAGGGTGTCTGATCTAGTATTCCTCCTCCCAACACGCACGAAGTTGGTTGCATTGCTTTATTCCGGTTCAGTCCAGCTGTGGGAGACGGAAAGCTGTAAAAAGTATGATAAAATTGACAACGATAACTTCCTGGGGATGCATGGCCTTTCCCGGGATGGGCGATGGCTTCGTACGAACCGAGGGCAGATCTGGCTTGCCTCATCTCCTGATTTCGATATACTACGAATGGGGAAGGCAATCAACCGGCCTGCGGAAAGGATGCATCATCGAAGGAGAGAATGAAGCAATCTTCCTGCCGTCAGATTTCTGGAGAATTAGGCTGCTCTATCCCGATCCTCCGAGGTCCAAGAAAACTCCGTGCTTATGACCTGGGCTCGCACATTCTCTGGGTACCGTCCTAGCGGGACAACGGTAGTAGGATTCGACAGCTTGGAGCACAGGACACTAAGAAACGATTGAAATGTCAACTTAGTCAAGGTTAAGGATATATTTCTCCCTTCAAGGTTAGCTATGGGGGTGCAGGCGTGCATCATACTTCCGACACATCTTATCTGAAAGGGAAATGATACCGGTGGCTTGGCCTCGAGGTAACTTGGTACATGGTCAATTGAGCCTGAGTATAGTACTTAGATATCAAGTAAGCGAAGGTCCAAGATGGAATACAAGACTCAACAGTAATATTGGTAAATTAAGTTAATGACACGGAAGAAAAAGCAATAACAATAAGACAGGATACTGCGTCAGCGATAAAATGGCACATAGCCTGGGCTTGGGATAGGCAGTTCGAGTTTCTAATCAGTCCAAAGATCGGCTGTACAAGCCAAATCCGGAAAGGCAACCTAATGATGGTTGATCCTTTCAGCACAGATACTAATTTGTTTATTTTTAACCTGCCATTACCTAGATGTCATAGCGGTTGCTTTCCGGCGTTAGGGCTTTAACAAAGATATACCCTGACACGAACATTCAAGAACAGGAAGGGAGAAGCCGGGTCACTATGAGATACGCAATACGAGGAGATGGATATTCTAGACCGCAACAAGGATCAGCAGAAAAACTTCTACCCAAGGGGAAATTAACTGGGGTAAGACCCCACTTGCCGAAATTGAGGACATAAATCACATAACTTGGGCATAAAGGAAGGGGTGAGATGTGCATAATCAAGCATAGAATGGTGGTACAAGAACGAAGAGACAATGAGCGAGACGGCAGGGGATTGGCTCACCCTCTTAGTTCCATTCGTCTCCTCGATATAATTGGCGGGTTACTTGGAGCCTGGGGTTTTAGATTGCTTTTAAACGACCAGGGTTGCAACGCGCTCTCGGACGGGGGACTTCCATGAATTGTGCCTAAGAAACGTGTATAAAAGCAGCTTGTACCTCCTTTACGTTATGGCATTGAGATGTAACCTTTGGTTGCGGCTCGCCGGTGGATTTAATACGGGTATCGGAGCCTCATGACAGAGCCTACCCCAAATGTTCTTGAGAAGGGGGAGAAGATGGAGGAGACGAATCGAAACTCAGGAGAATACAACGACCTTGAACATACATCGAAATCTAATGACTCGGCCCGAGTCGACTGGGATGGTCCTGATGACGCCGCAAATCCGATGAACTGGCCTACTTCGACGAAAGCAGTGCAGCTGGTCTTCATGGCTTTCAACACGTTTGTTAGGTGAGTTTTGCTAATACGACTCGATAAAAGTAGGAGTAATAGGGCTGACGGAAAATAGCCCTCTAGCTTCCTCCATGTTCGCACCCGGCGTCCAATATGTTATGCGCGACTTTCACTCCCCCGATCAAATGTTAGGCTCGTTTATTGTTTCCGTCTATGTCTTGGGATACATGCTAGGACCGTTTCTCATCGCGCCGCTATCGGAGATATATGGCCGTGTGCCTCTATATCATGCTTGCAATGTACTCTTCCTAGTGTTCACTATTGCGTGCGCGGTAGCGCAGACTTTGCCTCAACTGATCGTATTTCGTTTGTTCGCTGGCATTGCTGGTGTCTGTCCCATCACCATTGGTTCTGGGACAGTCGCCGACATGATCCCTGTGGAAAAGCGAGCGGGCATCATGGCTGTTTGGGCTCTCGGACCTATTCTAGGACCTGTCATTGGACCCATTGCGGGTGGATTCCTAGCCGAATCGGTGGGCTGGCGATGGGTGTTCTGGGTCCTTGCGATTGCAGTAAGTAGCTCAATCGCCGTCTTATGGTCGAGGATACTAACGAATGCAGATTGGTGTCATGACAATCGGGTGCGCCGTGTTCTATCGCGAATCGTATGCACCGGTGATTCTGCGTCGCAAGACTGAGCGACTACGCAAAGAGACTGGGAATCCCAATCTCTACTCCGCCCGTGGCGACACAAAGATTACCAAGGCGCTGTTTGCAACCGCACTTGCGCGCCCAATGAAACTCCTTTTCCGCTCCCCAATCGTGTTTCTGCTCTCCCTATTCGCAGCCGTGACGTACGGATACCTTTACCTGATGTTCACCACTTTGACTCCCATCTTCAAAAACACCTACAGCTTCTCATCCGGTCTGGCCGGTCTCGCCTACCTGGGCTTCGGTATCGGAAGTCTCCTCGGTCTCGGAATATGCGGCGTGGTCTCTAACCGCATCGCTGCCAGTCACACTGCGCGCGGCTGTTTCAGACCTGAATCTCGCTTACCCCCGATGCTGTTCGGATCTTGGGCGATTCCGGCTGGCTTATTCTGGTATGGTTGGTCGGCGCAAGCGCATACCCATTGGATTGTGCCAATTCTTGGGACTGGCCTGTTTGCGATCGGCCTCATGGTCGTCTTCATGGCGTCGAATACGTACCTTGTGGACTCGTACTTGGCGCACGCGGCCTCCGTGACGGCTGCTGCGACAGTACTGCGGTCGTTAGTCGGCGCGGTGCTCCCACTGGCTGGCCCGTCTATGTATGATGCGCTAGGCTTGGGCTGGGGGAATTCCTTATTGGCTTTCATTGCCCTCGTGATGTGTGTCTGTCCAGTGCTATTTTGGAAGTACGGGGAGTTTATCCGCACCCATCCGCGATTCCGGATTGCTCTATGACTACACTTTGATGCCTTTTGAAGCGAATGGCAGGTTCCTATGTACTTAATAGATAGGTTGTGATTATTTAGGGATTCCCCGATCTTCGAAAAGTTGTTCGACAGCTATTCTAGTTAAGTCTCCTGCATACAAGTAAAAGAAATCTAACGACCTTGGTTGATTTTCCCTCGCCAAGACTACCTATGCCAAAAATCTCCAATAAACACCATAACCAAAGAACGAACATATACGATGTCAAACCCCGCATCCCGAATACGAGCCTATGGCTCCAGCAACTGCGTCATGTCATACCATTATTATCAATATAAAAGAAACCACTCCTACCTCAAAACTCCCACCCCACACCAAGCCAACAAACTAAACAGACCCCTCTATACACCATATATGAATCTCCAACCGACGAGATGCACATCGCCATCCTCCCCGCCTCCCCCAAAACCGCCCAGGCAACAATCCGCACCCTCCTAAACACTAACAAACAGGATATCCACATCAAAGCCTTCTACCGCGACCTCTCCCGCGTTCCCGCATCCTTCCTCTCACACCCTAATTTCCACGCCGTAAAGGGCGACGTAGGCGACGCAAATACCCTGGACCTAACCGGCATCGACGCCGTCCTCGTAATCACACCCCCCGTCTACGATGGATCAGATTACCTCGAGCACGCCCGCCTTGTATCGCAGAATACACGCACTGCGATTCAGAAAGCCGGCGTGAAACGCGTAGTCCTTCTTTCAAGTGCGGGGGCGGAACATGAGTCCGGGACAGTGAGTTAGCTATCTTTGTTTTGAATTTTGTTTTCATGGGCATTATATTGTAGGGAATACAATAAATAGAATGTGCTGATTACAGTGTCTAGGGAGAGATACTAACGAACCACACCGCCGAGACGATCCTCCGAGACTCCGCTCCTGAGGTCGTGCTGGCCAGATGTGCTTATTTTATGGAGAACTGGGCGACTGGGGTTGCGACTGTGCGGTCTGAGACTCCGCATTTGTATTCTTGTATTGTGCCGAGGGATTTTGGGGTCCCGATGGTTTGTTTCCTTTCCTTCTTTCCTCCCCTTCCTTTTTTCTTTACCTTTCGGGGCGGTGTTTGGTTGTTATGGTCCTAATGAGTGTTTGGTACTAGGTTGCCGCTAAGGATATGGCGCGGGCTTTTGTTGACTATTTACTCGCTTCCCGAATTCCCGAGAGTCCTTTTGTGGTTGAGGTCCAGGGACCGAGGGAGTATACTTCGGTTGATGTGCAAAGGGCGTTTGAGGAAGCTATTGGGAAGGAGGTTGAGCTTAGGCTTGTTCAAGGTGAGGATTTGTTGCAGTTCTTCGGGGCGTTTTTGCCGAAGAATACGGCGGAGGGGTTTGTGGAGATGACGAGGGCTTTTTTGCCAGGGGGAGTTATGCACAAGGCTGGTGCCTGGGGTGACCGTCCGGTTTGGAAAGGGGAGACGGAGTTAAGGGACGTTGTTAGGGAGCTTTGTGAAGGGTCTGATGAGTGAAGTTTGTATATTGTGGGAATGGGGGTTGATGTATGTGAGGAATAAATTGTACATGACTTCAATTGCAATGGGTAATGTTGAGGTCCATTCAACTGGATTGGTCTCTGTGGGGGTTAGTAAATGGGTCCAAAGTCTTGTCTCAGGCGTTATATCTTCTATCGTTATATCCCTGGTTCTTTCTCAAAATCGTCTCGTACAGCTCAATATCATGCTGCGTAGGCTCAGGGCGTCTTGAAAGTGCTAGAAGTGCTCGTTTGCCTGATAACGAGTCTGACAAGCAATATGATGATCATTTGAACGATCCGAAAGAGTCTCCATCATAAAGCAAGTAGCTCAGCGACACTTCGATCCTATTAAAAGAAGCCGCCACCTACTCGAGAGCGTCGTTCGACTCTCCTACCTTCCCGATATACAGACGCTGATCATCCTAGCGCAGATATGACAAGAATGATGCAACGTCTTCAAACCTCATCCTAACTCAGCCTTTATTGAATAGTCTGGCAGTATCCTGGGGTACCTGATATAGACCGGCTGAGTCCTTCGTACAAATGAAATCCAATATGGCAGACAGAAAGAGATGAAGGCTGGTGAGTAGCAGCCACACACAATACCCGAGAGCTAGGATGAGAACAGCTCAAGGATATTTCTGCATAAACCTGCTGCCTAGGGGCGTGCGCTAAGAGGACAACCAAAAAGCAACCGCCTGTTTTACTAGACAAACAGAAGCAAGTCCCGGATGACGAGCAAATCCCCGTACCGGAGGACAAGCAAGCACCCATACTTAACAAACTGTATGGTTTCTTAACCCCATGGACTCGCCAATCCGGATTCCTAGGTCTCCCTAACTGCGCTCACCTTGGTCCCATGGACCTTTTTGCTCTCGACTGACCTACCACCGGGCTAGATGCTGGGATTAAAAATAGGCTTTGCTAAGCAATGGCCACCTGTTGCTAAGGACCCGAGAGTCTAGAGGAGATTCTCGAGGAGGATCGGAATATCCACAGTAAAGACGAGGAGGTGGATCAACATACCCAAGTTGCAGATGACAACGACACTTTCTCTGAACTCTCATACCCAGAAGAGGGTGTAAGCCCCGACTACCTTAAACATTCCCCTTCCTGCCGGAGAGAACCGGCCAACCTTTTCAAATTAACTCTGACCTCGACCTATCCGGCCTGCCCCTTTGCCCCTGTCGGAATACCCCTCCTATCGAATCAATCAACCTGCTGCTACAATTGGTAGCATGTTTCCCAACTAATCTCTACTTATCTACACTACTTGGCCATGATGGCCAAGTTGAATACATGCCCATTGAACTCCAGTCCCTATGTCTAGGGTCATCATGGCATTGTCTCTGTCTCTTGCACCGAGTCGAAGGATCCAATTGGGACCGGAACGTCGAATCCTGGTGTTATACCCAGAAAAACAGAGTTGGCAGCAAGCTGCCTGACTTGGTGGCGCGACCTGGAAAGAATGCGAGGTGAAAACCTCGTAATACCCATACACTCACCTCCCCACCCATATCTACCAATACCTTACGTGGCACCTCCTCATGCGGTGGAGCGACCGCCGATGACCAGAACGACGACCATGCAAATGAGACTTTCCAGCAGGATCGCATGCGCAAGGCGTTAGAGTGTTGGCAGCTAGCACTCCTATCACTTCACTTATTCCATATGGCTCTAAGCTAATAGGCTTCGTGTTATCCAAACTTCCTATCAGCAGGCTTCTACATCTTCCTACTGCTCAAGCAGCTGCGGCTTGAACCAGGAAACCAACCCAAGAATCAAGTGTCTAGGAACTGGCCATTCTGGTGTAGAAGGTACATAGCTACAAAGTGGCAATCATACTAGCGCTATTAACATGGTGATCCAATAAATCCCTCTGAAACTATGTTCCTAACGCTCATAAAAGTCAATCGTGTGGTGAAGTTCCCATCCAGCACATTTATATCGCCGGCCTTTTGCCATTCGCCATATAAATCACAAAGTCTATCCGCGGGCAGGAGACGTTAAAAGATGAGCGAATCGCTTCAGGGGTTTAATCTCCACCTGATCGCACAATATTGTTGATATGCTCATATTACCTTAATGCCGCTAGGGGTAGCAACATACCACAGCCAAAAACTCTTCCTTCGGGGTTCCTTGATGGGATTCTTCCAGACCTCTAAGCTTCTTTCGTGGAGGCAAACCTCTTGGAGAAGAACACTAATCAGTCATGGCCTGATGTCATCAAAAAGCAAACTTCGCCGACGGGTATCCGTACCTGGTTGACAACTGCGGAGGACATGGCATCCTTGATTAGCAAAACAGGATTATTATCGGTCCAGACTACCAGACAATATTTCTTCATGGTCCATATTCACGGGAAAATAGCGCACCTGTTGTCTCGCCTTTTCCATAGCGGAGCAAGATGAATCAAAGACCGGGGCTTTCAATGGGACAAGGCTCATGGTGGGAAACTGGACTGCCGATGGGTTGGCCCAAGAGATGTGGTCAAGATGGGACCAATGAACGAACAGTTATGGTGGAAGAATTGTATCAACGGAGTAGGAAGCGAGGTGGGCCGAAAACACTAGTACCTAGGGGGGTGGCTTGGGTATTAAGCCGAAGAAGTGGGTGCAAACGGAGGTGGACGCGCAGATGAGATAGGTAGTTGATGTCGCTTTTGTAGGATGGGTTGCAGGAAATCGCCTCTCAATTGACGGAATAAAGACCTCCTGTGTGGCTGGACCTGGAAGCTGCCCAGAGATATTAGGCTAGCTTTAGAGGTTGTCTACGAGACACAGTCTATGTGTCTGATCTTCTGGGAACCATGCGCCTTTTGGTATGTACAAGCTCATTGGGTACCAATTTGTTCAACTTGTATGTGAGGCCAAATCGCCTAATCTAATCTTCTTCTGAGCACTCCATCTACTTCTGGTTTCCTAGTTTTTATTCGATTTTTGACCTAGTCGAATATCTTGCGCTAGACTCTCCCCACTCCATCCGTTTTTGATACACTGTGCAACACACTTGGGTGGCTTTTGATCTAGGCAATTTCGCCAACTCGAGGGCGACCTTGCTGGACAGTTGCTTGAGCATGCAGCTTCATTTCCAAATATTTATGTTTACCCTTACCTTGCTGCGATTAGTTTCCTCAATGCACCTCCGAAATAACATGCTTACCCAGCGTCTTCCAACCACTTAGTTATATCTTGCTCCTTCGTTAGCCTACTTAATTTCATGGCTACCATTTACCTATCAACACTCCTCGGGGATAGTAACAAATCCCCATCCAAGCCATACCCAACATCAAACCTAGGCCCGGCAACCCAAATCAATCCCCCATAACATATAAAACCCTCTCAAACAAGCACACAGCCTATATGACATGGCCTATAATACAGAAACAACGCCTAGCTAAGACAGACACCCCCGCAACGCACAGACAACCTGCATAATACGCATATATCCACATGGAGGAGTCTACTTCTAGCGGATATCATACATCTATATGTCAAATTGCTGACACACGTTTAGACGCCTACAGGAGGTGACATCTCGACGATCCTCGGCAATCGGAGATCACAGCAGCCGTGCATTATACTGGTAGTCTAGCCGACCATGACGCTGGTGTTTCATGAGCCCCTTGATTCCTTGCCTAAGTAATTCTCTTTACAAGCGCTCACACACGAGTGATATGATTCGCTGTTATATTAGCCCTTCCGCTTACTGTATCTCATGACCTTAAGGTGATGCAAGAGGCTTGGGAATCATGATTAGAATAAAGGTATAACTCACTCAATCGGTTGTTGGCTCTAGCTTGGTGAAAAGATTGAATCTAGCTTTTAGGAAGACTTATTTTTGGCTGGAACGGTCATGCAGGGGGCGACTTGTGGAACTTGGAGGGGTTGCAAAAATAAAATTAAATAGGAAATAAGGCCCACGGGTAGGAATAGAGCTAAGTACGATAAACCTATCCCCATAAGTATTTTCTGGTCGTTGTATTCTGCTTTGAATATAGGTAGATATGTGGTCAAAACATTTGAGAGGTGACACTATTCACGCCCAGTTCAGAAACGTCGTAGATCATATCTACCACATGAAGTAAGGGCCACATGTCACCGTTGGAGTTCTCAAGTATGCTGCATACTTTTTCATTCCCTGCATTCCAAAGAACTCCGAGGCTCGGAATCAAAATGTAACGACGAACAAAGCCGACCACGAAATGTCTGCATCTGATTGGCCCTAAAAGACGCTTTTTAAGAGCCACCTAGACCTTAATAGAGTATAAGGAAATGGGAATCCTCCACTAAGCGGTCCGTTAGTGGCTGTTGACCCACATTGTGACAGCTGTCTTGCGACTCTTGCTTCGATGGGCTCTGTCCCATTTACTTTCTCCTTAAGATACTTCACGTCGCTGGCCCAATGGGTGGGCCAAGTGGAGACAGGGGTGCAACGTTATCAGCACAGAAATATGTATATATACAGTAGTAAGGCCCAGGGTCCGACGCCCAATTTCCTATTGTGCGTTCGTTGTGTGAATTTCTTGCAGAAAAAAAATGATCTTCGAGCCGACCGCGCGGGTGGAACTGCCCACCACCGATGCTATTTCTTATATTTTTGCCAATCCCCGATATGATCGTGATGAGCCTGTGTGTTCTCTAGCTTCTGGTGTTTCTTGAGTGGGCAGTCGCTAAACGGGAGTAGATCTACATCGACGCGAACGATACTTCCCGGTCTATCTCGTATAACCAAGCTCGGACCATTATCCGGAAGTTGATCGCGGGTCTACGTGCATGGGGCGTACGCCAAGGCGACTGCGTGGCGCTTCACTCTTTCAATGATGTACGTTTTGTTTCGCAAGTAGCTAAAGCTATTTTTGCTCTAACGGGCAATGCCATGCCTAGATCTATTACTGTATGCTCGCCTTGGCCATCGTCGGAGCCGGCGGCATCTTCACCGGCACCAATCCCGCCTACACCTCCATGGAGATTGCGCACCATTTCAAGGCGTCGGAGACCAAATTCGTCATTGCTGAGCCGGAGGTCGTGGGCTCCATCCAAGCAGCGATGAAAGAGATGCGCATACAAGAGTCAAATCTGCTGGTGTTCGATGTTCGAGACCAGACCGTTCCGACTGGGTTGAAGTCGTGGCAAGAACTCTTTTCCGCCGGCGAGGGAGACTGGGTGCGATTCGACGATCTGAAGACCTGCGAAGAGACCACCGCCGCAAGACTATTCAGCAGTGGGACGACGGGTCTCCCCAAGGCGACGGAAATCACGCATCGCAACTTCATCGCTCAGCATGAATTGGTGTTTGAGTTCAATCCACGACCGTACCGGGTATATCCTCCTAGCCATGTCTTCTTTATCTTAAATAATACGAGAAATATGAAAAATCTCATTGACGGGTATAGCTCCGCCGACTCGTCGCCCTCCCCATGTTCCACGCCGCCGCCGCCCCTTCAACCTATTTCGGTCCCCTCAAACAAGGCCATATCACCTACATCATGCGCCGCTTCGACCTCATGGAGTTCCTCTCGAATGTCGAAAAGTTCCAAATAACAGACCTCCTTGTTGTACCGCCCATGGTCGTCAGCATCATCATGAGCCCGCAGGCGCACGAGCGCCCATACCTCAGAAGCATCCGCATGGCTTGGGTTGGCGCCGCGCCTCTCAGTAAAGATATTCAAGCCAAGCTCCGCCTTATGCTGGCAGATGATGCAACCTGCAATCAGGTCTGGGGCATGACGGAGATATGTTGCATTGGGACGATATTCCCATATTATGAGCAGGATGATACGGGGAGCGTGGGTAGGAATTTGCCGAATATTGAACTCAAGTGGGACTTACCCTTCTTCTGCATACGAAGGTTCAGTAGCTAACAACTGATCAGATTGGTGGATGACGAAGGGAACAATATCTCCGGCTATAGAGTCCGAGGGGAACTCTGCATTCGGGGTCCTACTGTTACACCAGGGTATTTTAATAATCCCAAGGCGAATGAGACCTCGTTTGATAAGGATGGGTGGTTTCATACCGGCGATATTGCGTTCTGCGATGAGAATACGCGGAAATGGTACATCGTAGACCGCAAGAAGGAGTTGATCAAGGTTCGCGGGTTCCAGGTTGCACCGCCCGAGCTGGAGGCTGTTCTACTTACGCATCCGCTTATCGTTGATGCCGCTGTCATTGGGCTCCGTGGTGTGCTTCCTGATAGCGAGCTGCCACGGGCTTACGTGGTTCGGCGTCCGGAGGTGGGAGACAAGTTGACGGAGAAAGAAGTGCAGGAGTATCTAGGTGCACGGTTGGCCAAGTATAAGGCACTGACTGGGGGTGTGAAGTTTGTGGATGCTATCCCGAAGAATCCGAGCGGGAAGATTCTGAAGAAGGTCTTGAAGGAGGAGGCTCAGAAGGAGGTTGAGGCTGGCTTCCGGCCCAAGCTCTAGGATGGATGATATTCTTTTATGTAATGCAGATAGTGTATTGCTAGACTCCCGCCATAATATATGACTAAACCATCCAAGTACCCAGCTGAAGAACCCCTTCTTCTCTTCCGGAGGCTCAGTCTCAACTTTTCCAACGCGTAATCATTCCTGGTATCGTTTTAGGATGCTCTCGGAGTGAGAATCCCGGAACTCTTTTGTTGCATCTTTGCCTGCTACTTTGCGCAGAACTGCCTAGTTATCAGCCTAGCCCCATAACAGGTCTAGTATGAAAACAAATTGTGACAGCTGACTTTTCTCTCCCCGAGGATGCTCGGCTCGAAAGCTACTCAGATCATAAACATCCTGGTCGATGATAATCCAGAAACTCAATGAGTAGTTATGCCGTGCAACTTCGTCGCGGGTGAAGACTGTCCGTGTGGACATTGATAAGGGATTATGATGGGAGGTAGTTCAACTAGTCTGGGCTCATCATCTGCCAGAAAAATGCAGCCTATCTCTATGGGATCTCTAGCTTTATCTTTATCTTGTTAACAATTATTATCATGGCTGCCTATCACTGGTTAGTCTTGCAGCGTAAGCAGGATTCGGTCCCGTCAGATGCCGAGATATGTTCATTCTGGTGAAAAGTCAATATATCGAGGGTTATTATATACACTATTATGAAGAATTGATTGGGCGGTCTTTACTCAAGATATTTTGCTCAACATATCTCCAACCTATTGACTGACTTGAAAGCATTTTGATCTGCTTCGTGGGTGATAACCACCCCCGTGAAAAATACAACTAGCTTCCACTATAAAAGAATCGGACATAGGAAGCTTCTACACAAATCATCTCTTATGATTCAGCTATTTAAACCTAAATAACGCTATTTACAATTATCCCCTCCATCACTCAGCCCTCTCCATCAACACAGACCATCCTCCCAACCTCCTCTCCCCACCGCCAAACGGCCCCCTCCCCAACATTATACCTATAATAATTCTTCGTCCCCCCAGGAACCAACGCCCTCCGAAACGTAACATTAATCCTCCCCATCCTACACTCTCCCTCTTCCTCTTCGGAATACTATGCAACCAATTCCCCTGCGTCTACCCCCCTCATAACAACCATATCCCCACTCCCAAGCGGGAACTTCAACGGCCCCGCCTCAACCCCGGGCTTATGCTTTAACAGAAAATCCCGCTCCGCACCCAGTGACAGACTCGCGATGGCCGGGCTGGGACCTAGGAACCGCTCGTCGTCGGAGTGGTAGGCTATGCTGTCGTCGCCGGTGGCGTAGTAGTTTACCAGGATGAAGTTGTAGTCGACGGTGTCATGGGTGGCGGATTGGACTGCGAGGCGGAGGGCTTCAAGGCAGGGGGGGATTGGACGGGGGGTGCATTTATATTTCGTGCTTGGGTTGGGAAGGTTGGTGGATTTTGAGTGGAGGGTGGGTGTTTGTGTTTTTGTGATTGGGGCAGTATGGAAGTAGGAGGTTGTGTCGATGCCGAAGACGGTTGTGTATCTTGGTGTGGTGATTTTGGTTTGGGTGGGACCGCGGCGGATGGTGTATTGGACGCGGTAGAATGGGAGTTCGGCCCAGAGGAAGTGGAAGAGGGCGCGTGCTGCTAGGGGTGAGAGGAGTGGTTGGAAGTAGAGGAGGTCGAGGTGGGGATGGGTTGTTATAGGTTTGGGAGGTTTAGTGGAGGCGAGGGCCGAAAGGGCTTTAGATATCGAGAAGGGGAGATTAGAGATGTGGAAGGGTTAGCTAGGGTGGGTTGTTGTTGGTGGTTTGGTTGCTTTTTCGTCATCATCATCTGATACTTGGGTTGATGAGGGTTGACGGTGGTCAGGTGATGGGTCTGGTTTGGGTTCCTTGGAGATCGGTTGGAAGAAGGATTGAATTCGTTTGGACATTTTAATTATTTTTGCTAGGCTGTTTGTCTGGACAAGAAGATTCTACGGATTTATATGGAGTATTGAACTGTATGAGATGATGTCAAGCGGTGATCCCATCCGTTTGAAAGGTTCGGATTGAGTGGTTCCTTGATTCCTGATCAACTTTACACGATCGATTGCCGATTATCAGATCGATCGGTATGCAGGATACTACTGGTCCATCGATAGGAGTTGAAGGACCCACTCTACTGTATGGTTTAATTTAGATATAAACACCTATTTATCCTAGATGATGTGCGGATGTTAGAAAGCATTTGCCTTAAACATGGGCTTCTCGCCTCTTCAACGCCTTTGGACCCTAATCCAACATCAAGTGCATATCTCCTCATCAAGGTATGAACCTAGTATGGACATGCAATCTTTCTAACCCAATTGTCTTAAGTTACACCTAATTATGTATTATGACTATAATCTATAAGACCATACCGCTGTGCGCTGGCAATAGCACTGCATACCTGGAATTCCTGACAAGACAACATGGACGCCAAATTTAATAGATCCCTTAGAATTTCGTAGCTATCAATCTGACATTCATCTCTCAACCCATACTAAACTCATACCTCTTACTCCTCCTGATCCTCGCCACCCCCACACCCAAAGTACAAACGGAATAGGAATCAACAGTGCCGTAAACCTCCCAAAAACATTCATCGCCAGCCCATTCCCCAGGCACCGATACAACGGCCCAATAAATAGAGGCAAGACCGCCGCAAGCGTACTCCGAAGAAAGGTATCGGCGACGGTGGCACTCGCGCCCCAGCGACAAAAAACATCCAGGAGGTAATTCAGCGCACTCCGGAAGATTGTGAAGAACCCAAACCCCAGACACTCAGCGCCGACAACGCAAGGAGGAGTCAGCCACCCACTCGACTAGAGGGCCGAGTGTTGGGCCCACGATGTCTGCGAGTGAGTAAGCCCTGATTGCGTATCCTCTGGTGGTCACGTACCATGTATCGCTCAATGCTCCGCCGCGGCACCACATGTGAACGAGAATATCGCTGCTGCGGCGCAGGGTCCACGTACCGGCCTCTTCCGACCGTATACTTCAGACACAGGTGCCCCTACCAGGGGGCCGAACCTAAATACAGAGCAGAAAATAAGACACCGGTTGGGAAATGTGGAATGGCTGAACATACTCGAGAAGGCAAAAGCTGAGCCAAGGCAATGATACTTTCTTGCTTACTTCGAAGGCCGCAGAGATCTGGTCAACTGCGGGAGAGTATCTATGTTGGGAGGTTTAGAATAGATTTGGACAATCTAAATTGGTGGTCAACATATATGCTAGCTGTCCCCAGCAACAGTGATTGTGACCAAGCCATAGATAGCGGTGATAGTGATTTTCTTCCTTCGCGGCCAGTTTCGAGAGCGATATGGGTCATCCAGCCCATTGAAATCGACAATGCACTTCAGACCCTGTGCAACTACTACTTATTAGATGACGAAAGATGTAGTTCTTGGTACCGGGAAAGCCGACGCTCGGCTTGGCTGGACTTGTCTGTTACCCAGGGTCCAGATTCCATCGCGAGCGGAAATTGGTGAAAATGAACTAAGGCGTTCAAAGGGACGAGGAAACCCCCAGAAGGCTGGGGCAAAAAAAAAAACAGCCCAATAAGAAGGGTATGACGGGGGATAAGCACTACTAACGTTGGGAATCCATGCATTAGTGTGGAGTAACACGCTTCTTCATTTGAAAGGGAGACAGGTGACACTAGTCCATAGAACTAGTAAGTCCAGATAGTGAGACTTAGAGCTACGTGTTGCGGGCTACAATGGGATACGAGGTGAAACAAAAGGAGTGTCAGAAACACCTCACTGGCAATCACCTCTGATCGTGTTGGCCTTAATGCAACGCTCCACGTCATGTCACAGTAACTAGAATATCACCCACATGAGGCTATGCTCGGAGGCATGAACACATAAATAGAGCTCTATAGATGCAGGATGAAGTCTCTGTACTCCAGCATCCCTTTACCAAACAATCTTTCAACATCTCTCAGCTACAAACAGAACGATACTACCATTGACTTCGATTAAAAATCTTCCCCAAGCCCACAATGGCTTATCTATTGCACCTTTGCCCACAATATGCTATGCTCGTCCAGAGATGAAAGGTGATGAAGAGACCCAGCTGCTCCTGGATGTTTACAAGACCCATGGGTTCTTTTATTTGAACCTCAAAGGCTTGGAGACAGTTTTGGACGCTGGCAGCAGGTTCTTCGTATTTTGGAGACCTACTTCAGCCCAGGATCACATGGCCAAAATGAAAGGTGACCATCACAGCGATACTTACGGGTAAGGGAAACATATACACTTGGTTTCTTTTGGAGACCAAGATTTAGCTACGCGCTCTGCGGGTCTTCAGCGGGGGCATTTAGGGGCATATTGAATTTTTATGAGACTCTGAAGGTGAGAATGTCCGCCTGAGGGAGCAGTTAACCAAGATAAACTCAAATTGCCCGCTTGGAGATGCTCGAAAAGTCTCCATCCCTTCCGCAAGCGGCGAAGGGACAACGATGCGCTGTTCGACCGCTTATTAAAGACTGTGATGCAATTACCAAGGGGATGCTTGCTCGACTCTCCCGACATCCTCGAACTAGGCCCCGGAGCTTCGTTGTCCCCAGGGAAGACTATACTGTTATGAACGTGGGAGACTCATTGCGTTCTCTTTCTAGGCATGTGCTTGAATCGTGTGCTTATCCGGTTGCGCCTCGCACGGATTCAGGGCTTCAGGAAGACCATCGGTATAGTATTGCGTACTTAGAGCTGAGAATGGGGTGCAATATGAAGACAGCAAAGGTTGGGTACTCAAAGCCCGAGAGTGGCATGATGAGAAGTATGAAGTCTTTCGAAAGAGTCATAATGAGTCTTAACAGCGATCGGATTCTGACTAGTAGGATAGAGAAGGGTGAGCAGTTGATTCTCGAACGAAGTCATTTTTCCATTTTATCTCTGTTTTCTTGTAACTTTGAAAGCTATTTGGCGTTTTCGTAAATGTATATCAAATGGGTTCAATGGATTCGCCATCAATTATTATATAACCTTTTCTGCCTCTTTCTCATTCCTGCAGTGATGTCCTTCACTAGACTCCTATATCTGCTAAGCGCCGATGCACATAATCTTAAGACAACCATGCACTGTATCGTTATTTCACCTTTACTAACTCCTTGAGCAAGGTGACAGAGGAATCCCCTGTTTGAACTGCCTCAATATAATGTTGCTTCCAGGGCCCGGTCTGCTGGCCTTTTCCCAGTCCAGCTTTTAATTGACACTGTAGGCGTAACTCAATGAAGACTTGACTAGAACTCAACAGGGCACCATGCCTATGCAAGCTTTGTTGCACCAGAAGGGGACGTCTCGTACGTCTAGCCTCGGATTCTTAACATAGTTCCACGGTGGAAATGCGACCAATCTCGGTGTGTACATACATAGCAGACCTGCTACCGCAACTACTATAACACGAAGAAACACCTACAACACAACCCTTCCACCCACAATCCAAACCTCAACCCTCAGTCTCACAGCCAAGCAACTGCACCTTCCCCGAAATCCAACACCCATCCTCCACCCCCCCTCATTCCAGCTTAAAAAAGCTTCAATCTCCGACGGCCTCCCCGTAGTCCACCCCTGCCTCACATAAACAGGTCTCGTCCTCCCCTTAAGCAACACCCATCATCCATAAGCGTCCGAAAAAGCGCTGCAGCCACAATCCCCGTCACAGGATCCTCAACATACCCAGATGCCATCGGAAACTGCCGCGCCTGAAATATCTGATACTCGATACTCTCAACAGCATACGGGTACAACCCCGTCGCTGCGATCCGCTTACAAATACCCCGAATCGCGTCTTGATCAGGCCGTACGAAATTTAGAATTTCGACGCTCTTCAAAGGAATAACGTCTTTACTTCGATGTAACTACATTCCGGAATTTTGGTCCTGCTGCTATGTCATGGATCGAGAGGTCTAGACAAGATAGTACATCCTGAACATTATCAGGTAAGACTTCCATTGCCCGGCTGGCAGGCTGCGAAACTAATACTCACGCCCCCTGTTCATGTTCGTTTCCATTTTCATTCTCAGGAAGGATAACGAGCGCTTCTACCTCGGTAGATATGGTCGAGGTTCAAAGTTTATTTGCAAGCGGTAGCAGTCCCAAGTGATGTAGCCAGACTGTGCCGACGGTTGCGTGGCCGCACATTTTCATTTCGTGGTTGGGGACCCAGTATCGGAGGGCGAAGTGGGGGTTGCTGTGGGTTTTTCGGAGGGGTTTGGAGGGTATGAAGCTGCATTCGTGGTTGCAATTCTGGGTTAGGGATTGCATTTCGGGGTGGTGGGCTGCCTTGTTGGGTTTGGGTTCGGGTGAGGGTGTGGAGGATTGAGAGGGTGTAGGGGGGTAGGTTTGGTATTATGGTTTGTCTGTTTGTTTGGGGTAAGTGGTATATGGATGTCAGGTTGGGTGTCTCAGGTCGATGGATGAGTGTATAATGGAGGTTTTGTGCCTGTGAGAAGAGATTGAATCCTTGACTCAAAGGCTTAGTGAAGGCCAGTGAGGGCTCATACCACGTGGTCCTGGTATACTTCCGTAGCCTGTGAAACGTGAGGTTTCCCAGCGCTCGCGAAGCATATCTCGCGTTGTATCTTGATTGAGTATGTACTACTTGGTGGCTTGATAGCATCAGCCACCAGAATTTTGGGCGGTATTTGCGCGTCGACGGATGGCTGTGGAAGGTATGATTGGGGCAACTGTGTCTGGGATAAGTCACGAATCATTCCAGAAATCTATGATGTTCACGCATCCGTCGAAGAATTTCTTGACCCGCGCTGCATATGAAGAGATAGAGATGTAAACACTTCTAGTCAGCGAGGCCTTGATTCCCAGGATGCTAAGTGCCAAGTCAAAGGTCTTCACCAACTCAGTGCCCACATAAGCGTGATATGGATCGATTGCGGTGGCTTTTGAGTCCCCTGGACTTCATCCCGGTTAAGCATGGGATACTGCGGCGTGCATAATGCGCAGTCTCTTGGTCCATCTTCATTCTCGGGCGGCATTCGGAGAGGGAACAACAGGGAGCCGCCGAGATAAGATCAACAACAGATCATAACCGCATAATCAGTCAACGTCGACCGTAAGTCGTAGCATAGATTGGCCATAATAGAGCTACAACGGTCTATTATGGAACATAGAATCCGGCACGGGTATATTATCCCCATTCTAGATTGAACCCATCATTCGGTCTCCGATTCGGCTTCAATAATTCCATCTTGATTGACACGGTAACTTGCTGTGGAACATAGAACCTGCTGAATGGAAAGGATGAAGGATCCTGCGGGATTAGGACGTTTCAGACTAATCGTGTTAACAATGGTTCTTTCGATTAACCGAGTCTCAGAAGAAACTTCGATGGTTTCAGGAATTTTGACTAGACTCGAGGCCTTCTGGGAGTAATGTCGTACAGAGTACAGAGTAGTATAACAGTAATTAGTTAGTAGGCTGTTCAAGAAGAGATAACTAATCATTAATTAGACCTCATGTGTCGAACAGCCGAGGATAATTGATATAATAATATACTAGGTAATTAACAGCATTTTTCGGTGCTTAAGACTACCATTTAACTCGGTAAGTTCAGCAGAATTCTCTAGTGAAAGTGAAAATCCTGAAACTAAACCCTGCAATACCAGACCTTTCCATAATCCCTATAATCCCTATACTCCAGGCTCCGGGCTCCGTAGTCCAAAACAATTCAGAGCCGCTATTATCAATCACCCATACTACCGTACCCAGCGATTAAGCTTTTCATGCATCGTCGCAGACTTGTAGTATTTATAATAGAAACTAGACAATCATGTACACAAACAATGCTAATAGTGCGAATACGAGACGATCACACCACGCCGCCCCACCCAAACGATTACCAAATGAAGCCAGCCAGGAACGAAGATAAACAAGTCGACCTCAAGGTCAATGCCAGCCTAGGGTCATTAGCTCTTCAACAAACGGGGCATATAATTGGCAATGCCACCGTACTGTATGATATTAATAGACTATCATCTGACAACTCAATCATCCTCCAGCGGCTCCGGCAAAGAAGGCTTTAACTCGGACCCCGAGGATCCCGCAACAATCCCATGTCATGACATTAAGACTATTTACGCCATAAACCTTGGCTATTAACTCCAGTAGTACTAACGTATTTCCCGGGTCATCCGGCCACCCTACGCGTTTTGTACGCGCCTCAAATTTTGAAGCAATTCAAGAACCAGTCATACCACCAAAAATGCCTAAAT